AGGTTTTTTTTTTTTTTTTTTTTTAAATAAAACAAAAGCCCTTACTCAACGTGAATTACAACAACCTGAACTAAAAAATGTCAAAAAGCTCTCTTGGGGTAAAAAAATATACAAAAAGCTACTTCAAGCGATGCATAACACTGGCACTAACAAGCCGCCCACATATCTCCCGGAAGCTAAAAAAAAGCGCGGGCTCGTACTCACCCTTCCCTACCCCTCTTGCACTCCTCCTCCTCTATTATCATCATTGTGTATTTATCTTAACTTATTACCAACATGCACGAGATAAACCCAATATAAAGAGATGGACGTCAAAGATAAGAGAAAACAAGCGAGTATACGTATACAAAGTAGCACGAAAAAAGGGGCATCGAGACGAGTGTAGTGGGAAAAAAAACCCAACACCCACTCGAGAGCACACACACACACACATGCACTCGGGGGTTGGGGTTAGTAGCCGAGAAAATGAGCTTGGCGTGCTTATCCGGCTGACTAGTACTAGTCAGCATGGACATAACCCACCCCCATATACCATTATCCATGAAATAAGAGAGCAAAGACAGCGTCTCTCTGCACGTACATTGTACATAGTGTGCTCATGTATATGCAGACAAAGCATCGTACGCTCTCGCATCCCCACGGCCAATTTAATATAGAGTAGGAAAGAGAAAAAGAAAGTGAGAGAGAGACTCCCTCCTTCCGTTTGGGGATACTAAATTATACAGTATGATATACCCTCTCATCCCCTACTCCATGTACTTTGTGCCCATGCACTCAAACGAAGGGGATGGGGCAATAGTTATGACTGTCACAGGTGTATGCAAACATCACGAGGGCATTAACAACGGCAAACAGAAGGCAGTGCTAGTAACAGTCCACTTACGTCTTTTGTGCTGTTGTTGCTGCTGCTGGATGACTATCGGTTGAGTTGAACTACTGAAACTTCTTTATTCCCTTTTTTTTCTTTAACCCCTTCTCCACTCGCAAAATCTTCACACATGATCTCATCCTCACATGCAGTACACACTTGCACTAGCCATACAACTGCTTATTATGGCTTAACCCTCGCCACAATCGCTGCACAGCTGCTGCAGTCCGTTGTTGTAGCGCGCGCGCGCTTGCGAGTGCGATATACCCTAGTCCCCTCCCCCGGTAGCTTTAGTCTCCACCGTTGCCCTCACCGACACCTCGTGCACAACTCGTCTATACCATTTTATCGCCTCATCCCTGTGTTCACTTTTGATCCACACGTCCTCGGCTCACGTGTCCACGTTATACTTGATGTATCTTCTTATTTGTTGGAAAAGAACAAAGTGTCCAGCTTACAAATACACCACAGTAGTACAGACACAGAGAGAAATAGAGAGAATAATGGGAAAAGGTACAGCTCACAAGAAGGGAGCTACGCAACTGACAGACCTTAGGTACCTGTAACTGAGGAGAGGCTCCGAAAGAAAGAGCTTCTCCTCTCCGGGTCAACGGAGCGTTATCGTGTGTTCGTGAAGGCAGATGTATGGGAGTGAAAGGGAGAGAGAAATACATATAGCAAGCCAACGGCAACCCCTCGCAAATACAACCGGACTGGTAGTATTATCGACGCAGGCGCGGTAACCCTGCTACTATTTTCCACCCCCACTTCAAACACCCCTCTGAGCTACCCCTCTCGTTGTGCACAGCTTGGTATTCATTTTTGTGTGTGCGCGCATGCACATGGAGCTTTACCTAGAGTTTAGATGCTGCCAGAGAATCTTTTACCGTGCCTAGCTCCATAGTTTCCGTACTAAATCGCTTGAGCTTGAAACAATGGTGATGATAGAGATATCAGGGGATGTGTGTGTGTGTGTAGACGCGCATTTTTAGTGGGTAAGATGATTACTTCGGCGTAATAGATAATGAACTGACTGGGGAATAATTATTGTTCGATGGATTTAATGCCTGTTGGTCTATCTTTTATCTTAATTAGAAGTTTGAACAGAAGGTATGCAGAGCAAGTATTTGAAATGTTCAAGTAGTATGGGTTTGATAGAGATTTTCTCTTATTTGTTGATTATTGGGTCGACTTTTATAGTCGATACTGGTATGAGAGTTAGTGATCAAATAAATTTGCTAAAGACATGTTTGCGGTTATTGTTTCGGATCCATCGAGCATATATTTTAGTGTGAAATCTGTGAAAGTTTTTCTGTCTTGTATGTATAGTACCTAGTAGTATTTAAGAAAAATGTGTTCGAATGTAAATGGCGAGCGTTATTGTGTTTAAAAAATGTTGATTTTGGTTTTAAAAAAATATCAGTTTGTGACAAACAACGATGACTAAGAGTCACATTTTTTTTTTATTAACACAAAATTTTTGCTTGATTCGATAATTTTCTGAAGGTTTTCTTTCTCTGCGCGAAGCTAATTTTGTCAGTAACATTTATAACGGGTTCAAATTTACAAACGTTTTTAAGGACACAAGTTTGAAATTTAATCTTTTAACACTTGTAGCATAAAACCTATGATCTCAGCATAGTCAAGCACATTAAAATAAATACAGTCGGCTTTCGAGCCTGGTATGTTTTTAAATATCGAATTTCATAAAATCACATACCATTTGAAGTTTCACTTCTCCAAAAAGTTGTGACACCCACACCCTAATTTTTTTATCATGTGTCACGTACCATATGCGTGATGCATTCGACGTGATTATCACGCCACCAGAATTTTGATGCAACGAGGCTATAAAGTAAGGCCCTACACAGGTGGTCAGGCAGTTTGGTAGTACTGATATGAAATACTCACACAATATATTTATGTCTTTGCCCTCGCCACTAATTCAATTCAAGTTACTATAGTTTAAGAAATTTTTGATGCGAAAGAAAGTTTACTGTTTTTTAAACATTTTTCAAGATAAATTTTCTTCGTTTTGCATCTACAGTTTTTAGTAATATTTAGACTTTAACAAATACACTTTTGAGCAACTTCTTATCAGTGCACTTATTGTTTTAATTGGTTTCTTTTTAAATATCATTTGGTAATATGAAAATCAAGAAAATTATTTCATTTTAATTGAACTACAGACTATCAGTAATTTTATTCTTACTTTACAGTTACTTCAACTTTTTACTTACTGAAAATCAGGAATTATTGTGAAAACATCATTTTTCAGGGCGTTGTTTTGAGCTGGTCACAAAATGAAAAGTCTTTAGTTCTACCTATAATTCATATACTATTTTTGTACCAACCTGAACTTTAAATAAAAATCTAGCTTTGATGTTAAGGGGTGAAAATATTACTTTCAACAGAGGTAGGGCAAAAATAGTTCATAAATAACATAATCGTTTTTGATAAGGTACTTACATACGACTAATGTTCCACGTAAAAGATTTCATTTTTTGCCCAACATTTATAAGTAATATTTCCATCTTACTTTCAATTTTTTTTTAATTATTGGACTTGATATTAGAATTTTACTTGGTTGTAAAAAGAGAAATTAATTGTTACTATCTGGAACACTGACTAATATCCGAGAAATCGAACATGTGCATGTACCTGTGTTTTTATGCGTTGCGAAAATTAATACATTTAAAACTGTGTATTGTTACGACTCTATATAAATAAACACATTTTAGAATCAAAATAAATATGCTTTTACTATTGTTTTTTTTACTTTTAAATTGTGATCACGTTTTAATAATCTTAAAATCGCTGACAACATTATTTAATTTTCAAATTATAATTTTAGTTATTTTTTTTTATTTAGGTAATCCCAATGCGTTAGATATTACAAATAACGATTATATTATTTTAGAATTCTTTTATATAATATTGGTTTCTTTGTTTTTTCGTATTAATTGATCAAAAAGAGTTCTTAAAGGATTATCATTGGGATTCTATAGGTCAGATGTAGTAATTTTACGTTCTTTTTGGATTATAAAAATATTTAAACATGACGACTTAGCAGGAGTACGTAAAGAACACTTTCAGTGTTCTTTTTCAACAAATTCAGAATACTTTAACGAATTCATAAGGAATTTTCACGTTTGTCGACACCTAAAAGCATAGTGCATCTTTATAATTTTTTTTAGCCATTAAATTTAAAAATTATCTCATGTAAGCATTAGTTATGTATAAATTTTTGAAAAAAATGTTATAATACTAGCTTATATGCTGTTTTAGCGATGACCCCACGATTTCATATTTCTAAGAAGATAAAAATATATCTAGTTTGTATACATAATATGAGTACAAGGGCAAAGTTAAATCTTAATTAGGTTTATTGAACTTTTGATTTTCTAAGAATTTCTACAGATCTCGTGACATTACCCATCATAGTACTATTACAAAATTATTTTTTGAGCAGTTTTAGCGAGGCTCAAAAAATTATGATTTCGGTCGCAAATACACTACCTAAAAAATAATTCAAAAAATAGAAATAAATGTGTAAACTGTAAATAATACACAAAAAATCAGCCTTGATTTTGTAAGTTCTGCTACTATAGAATACCCAAAACGATCGATAGTGACAGTAAAGTACCAATACAAAACGAACATGTCATTAATCTCCATAAATACCCCAACAAGCACGTAGCTCCATTTCATCACCCCACGTAATAACTGACGCCAAAAAGCGTCAAAAATGTCCAAAAGACATTTTACCGTAACACAAAGCAATAAACAGAAACTCGCTTGGCATCGTCCCCCCAAAAAACTAGGGCCAGCGAACTAAACTCATCGCGCATTCCCTCTTTCCGGTAAAAAAAAAGTGAAAAAAAAACTGGGGCAAAGAACTCAAGAGCCCTCCACACGTACACGTATAGCCTCCAGTGCAACGTGTTATTGTGTTTCCAGGTATCTCGCAAACGGATCTCTGCGGTAGTGCTCTGGCCTAGATATTAAAAATCTACCGATGACGCAATAATGCAATGACAAAAAACACCCTGAATCAAGGGTAGTAGAGAGGGAAAAGGAAATAAAATCGGAAAAAATGCGAGTACCCAGACTACCCATCCATGCACTTAACAATGATGCGGTGTACAGAGAGAGAGAGAGTACACACGGAAGGACGGAAAGGAAGGGGGAAGAGGATGCGATGTTGTCCCCCTTCGCGAAATCAACGAGATTCGTTCCATCATCGCTACGGGGGATCCAGAGGTACATGTAATAGAGGGGTAGACTCTTTTTTTTTTTATCAAAGGAACCTACACTACGGAATTTATAAAGCTCTGCGCAAGCGCCGTTGCCAAGCCGACGAGAGAACAGAGCCCCCATAAGCTATGTATACTGTGCGCGAGCACAGATATGTGCGTATTGATTGCTCAAAGCTCTCCGTCTCGCTTCCACCCCCCATTTCCTCCCTTCTCTGTCTCTCCCTCCGCGAGACGTACATCCACCCCACCCTCCTTGTAAGCAGCCAGTTTCTCTTCTTTTCACCCACGCTATGAAGGCTCTCTCTCTCTCTCTCTCTGCTCTTTTTTTCCTATTCTTCCTCCCTCTCCCTGTCTCGGTTCCCTTGACTTTTCTCACCCCTCCCCCCAACCTCGTCTTTCTATACATATGCTCCTCTTTTTTAGATGGGAAATGGATATTTCCCCCTCATCTGCGATTATTTTCGTCTTTCTCCTGCAGAGGTGCGCATTTTCGGCCGAGTTTGTTAAATTTAAGGTAAAATGTGTGATGTACTTACCCCGCGTCAATAGTTCAATGACGACATGAAATTACCTGGCTGTTCCGCTACACGAGCCGCAGAATGGGCTAATCAAGCGAGAACTGCCGCTTTGATTTTTTGGTCGATCTCTTTAATGCGTAGATGGGCTGTTTTATGAATATGGGAAATGAACGGACCTGACTTTCCCGGTGCTGGGCTTTTTCTGATGAGCGATGAATATGTTTATTGGATGGGTAATTGGGCGATTCCTCGAGGAATCGGTGGGCGTGTTTTTGTGGAGATGAAAGCCCGCGTAGCTTTGAATTTGAATCGATCTTTTTGGGTATTGACGGGAAATTCGGAGGGACGTTTGGAGCGGGGATCTGAAAGGTAAACGAGGCTGTAATCTGCTTATGCGCGGAAGCGCGTCGAGGAAATTCGGGTGGACTGCCTTTTTTTGCTAATGCGACGATTTAGGTTGGGGGAATGAGATATTAAATTTGAAATTGAATTCACGAAATCTCCACATTTATCTTGGTTATTGGATGTGGAGTAGCTTTTTGGGATTATTGACCGGTTCGAAAATCGTTTTTGCACATCAGCAGTTTTACTTTCAATATGAGCTTTGCGTTAGACTCTATACTTTTCATGTTATTGTACAGGTACTAAAACAATTTTGGGCACTTTCTCTGTAAGCACCACAGCTTTAATCGTGGGTATATTCTAAATAAGCCGGAGTAAAATGCAATGGAGAGAAAAAAATGATTCATGCTACCTAA